TTTTTAAATTTTACACATCAATATTCGTTCATGTGTTTATTTTTTTATTTTTTTTTAGAAGCCATCTGATTTAATTTTGGCGGTTCCGTTTTCAAAGAAACTATGTTAGTAACATTCTAATTTTCTTAGTTTTTCTTAGAATTCAATATTTTACGTTTTTATTAAAATAATTTTTTACACATTCGAACATTTTCTTAGTTTTTCATACAATTTTAATATTATCGTTTTTATTAAAAATAATTTTTCTACTGTACTCAGTCAGACTATATGTTTTCTTTTTTTTAATCATTTCACCCCAAGCAAGGCGATAAAAGATGCGCTAAAATGCAAAGGTTTACTGAGAGTGAAAGAAACAAAGGACCGTAAAAGAACAGGATCCAATGTGATAGAATATGACGATTGACGCTGCATTTTAATTTTTGAATAGTTGACAGGAAAGCAAGAAACCGGAAGAGAGTTCTATCGGCAAAAAGTGCGAGAGAAGAAACTATTAGCATAGAACTTACGGTTACATCGAAATGTTTCAACAATAAAAATGATGTGACCTAGTTGCCAATCTAGTACCGAGATTAAATTCGTTAAGTCAATGTACCAAGGATGAAAGCCCACCAGAATATTACGGTGGTAATGCTTATAGAAAAACTTCAGAAAAGCTACGTTACGGGGACGCGAAAGTGACTGAAGCTGAGATGCTTCGCCCTCTTTTTATTATTAAAAGACGATCTCTGTCATGGGAGAGAAATTAGCAAATGACACAGCTTTGAAGAAGTTCCTCTGATATTTATCTAGTATGATGAGTAACCTGGTGCCAGTAGCCAGTATTCGAGTCTGGGTAAAAGAAATTCATAACGTTGAATGCTGATTTTCGAGGCAGACTCTCCCCACTTCCATGATTAATGAAATTGAAATACAATCTTCCTATGTTTATTTCCACCATCTGGTCTTCTACTTAGCTAAGCTTAGTAATTATTAAGTATCACATTATAAATAAAACCACTAACCATGAAAAACTAATCAATAAAAAAGAAAGAGTCTGTATTCATCAAACAAGGCCAAATTGGAAGTAAATCATTTTTTCGAATCTCAAAATTAGCGTGGATTTTACAAAGTCGTGTAATGCAAGTTCGAAGATCACTTGTATTTCAAATATATTCCAAGTAGGCAGTTTAACGAGATTCTTTTTGAAATAACGTCTGCATTGAGCTTTGTAAAACCGATTTTAATAATCTAATGGCCGATTTTACAAACTTTGTACGAAAGGATTTTGCTTAAAGAATGAAAATAACATGAGAAATCAATTGTTGTGTGTCACTTTAAGCCAATCAGATCATCGTATGATTAGAAGCGACTTTATTTTTTGTTGAATTTATTATCCGCATAATGAGTAGGAGAAACCAAAACAAAAATTACTGTGAAATCTTTGCTAATTTTTCTAGACTTGCAAATTAGAAAATTATCTGGAAAGAACAAAATGACTTTTAAAAGAAAATTCTCGGTCAAGAAAGAAAATTTTACAAATAAATTATAACAAACACTACAACAAAGAAATAAATATACTGACCAAAAACAGCGCAATGTGAGAAAGATACATTAGATTTGCTATTCCCTACTAATTCTTCTAGATTAACAAAGCTCAGTTTAACCCGTCATTCGGCCAACTGAAGGAAATGAGTCGATAAAGGCTGTGTTGCACCAACCGAAGAGTGTCTCTCTACCTTAAAAAATCGACAATTGACATCCTGGGTTTTTACTTAAATTTGAACAGCAATCCACGAATGTCTGTGGACAATACAAAACTATTTCAGACATGTGATAATCACCTGCCTTAAAGTTTGAACTGTAAAACCGCAGATTATTCTCAGAAATATCAACGATTTATAACTGAACAAAAGAAAAAACATATCTGCTTGATTTTGATTTTTGATGTAACCTAAACTTTAAAAGTGAAAAATATTTGTGTTTGAGTGAATTCCATAATTTCTGCAAATTTATCGCAGACAAAAATACATTTTCATTTTGCATTTGGTTTCCTTATACAAACAGTTGGTAACATTTATCCAACGATCTGTTGTGCTTAGAATAGTGTAATAAAAAATACGTTTGATAAGACTAAAAATGTCCTTTTTGTACACATTGTACGTTCAGAAGATATCAAAATTTAATAAAATAGCCGTATTTTTTCAGTTACACTGGTTTTCATTTGTGACCAATAACAATTTCTTTCTTCATTTGCAATTTACTCTCAAATTACATTTTATTTATTAGGGAAGAAAATCTAAACTGAAATAAAGATGAGTAATTTTAAATCTAGATATCGCAGGTTCAAATACATTCAGCATTATATAAAAAAAAAACACATCTGCCTTGTTCCCTCTTCTTCGATGGTCGAATTTACTGTTGACGCTTATAGTGGGTCAGCCAATTTGTATTGGTTATAAATAGAAATAAAAACTGACCCTCTACAATTTTTACAATATCAAATGTAACAAAGACAACAAGAGAAATAATCAAGTAGAAGAAATTGTGAATTTGTTCAACAATAAATATTTTTTATAAACACAACAAATACATAATATATAGTGCAAAAGTTGATAAACACAATAGAGTTCTTTGGTGTATGTGTTACTGAAAGAATTTGAGTTACTGTACTGTATGTGTGAAAATGACAAGGTTTAGTTAGCTATATTTGTTTTTATAGGAAAATTAAACAGATGTTTTTTTTGTGTATTAAATAGAAAAAAAAGTATTGTTCTTGACTCACTGATTGTTATCGCTCATTAACCAGAGATTCTTGTGGAATGGAATATTTTGTGGGAGTGAGCGTTAAACCTGGAGATGGTTGACAAAGTTTGTTGTTGTATTGAAGATAAAGTTCGTCTCCTTTGCTGTGTTGATTTCCAATGAATTCAAGTGAATTGGTTTCAATATTTTAAGTGCCCACTGACCAAGTCGCGTCGAAGTTTCGTTTTTATTAGTTCTCTTGGTCACGTGGGGAGGCTCGTAAACATGTTTACATTTTATGGCGTCAACTAGAGGTCAAAATTTGGGTCGGTACCTTCGGACGTAGTTGACACCACCTAATTAATATTTTACAACCAATCAAAATACATCAGTTGTTATATTTGGCTGGGAGCCTCTATGTGTTTAACTTGCACAAAATTTAAGATTTAAAAAAATGTAGGAATCTGATTCTACACGCTAAAACTACAATCATTAAAACGAATGTATTTTAATGTTTAATAAATCCTGCCCGTGATATCATGGGTTAAATAAACAGCAAATCGCGACACCCAACTGAATATTTGAACGCATTCAGAAGGCGCTCATCATCGTTACTGTTTCATTCGTAGGTTTCGACAAATATATCTTGTTATTAGCTTTTATTTCAAGTTTCTTACGTTTTTTTTAATAAAATGGCTCTCCTAAATGCGTTTATACATAAATTACTATCACCCTTGTTTTGATCGGATCACCGAAAACTGTCTTTGATTGTTTATGAAGATTGGAAGAAAGACTTGTAAATGGGCAGCGTTAATGATAAGCTAAAGAAAAATAAGTAACCGAGAAACTGAAGAATCAAAATTCAAACACTGTTCCGTTTATTAGATTTAGACTCTTGGCGTTTATTAGATGAGTTTTCTTAAGAAAAACATTCTGTTAATCTACCTAGCCACCATAGTAATCAAATAATTTAGAATATATTAATTTTATTCATTATACATAGTATGGTGCATCCTATAAGAATCGAACTCTTAACAGCAGTGTCTGCGAGAATAGCTTGCAAAGCAGTTCTCCACCAGAAGATGTTAAAATGAAGCGAAGAATGTTGTGTTCTTCTAATCTTCCAGGTGCTAATGACGTGCCTCCCGTGAAGATCAGCGTTCGGAATTCTAGTTCCTCTAACACCAGCCAGTGAATCCAAAGGGGAAAAAACGCCTACCTTAGCCACCAAGCATGTTAACACGAAAAGTTTTATTCGTCTTGATTCCTATTTTCACTTTATTTTTAGCTTCCAGTTCAAATCACGAAAGTAGAACTGTCGACTTCTGCTTTTGTCGTTCATAAAACATTCACCGTTAATTAAAAGTTACTTTGCATCCGTTTTTCATTATTTGAATGAGTTTGGTTGAGAAATAAAATCTCTCATCTCTAAAGTACGGCCAGTCAAATAAAAAAAAAACAACTATTTACCCACAGATAGCTGGTTTGTTTCCTATCCAATAGACTCGTCTTTTTTCTTTTGTCTTCCACAAACATTGCTAGTAATTTTATCTTCGTCTCATTCATACTCGCCATGACATTGCAGCTGTGGTCACAATCAATGTCGACGCTCAAAAGGGCAGCAACATCAATTTCTTTTCAATGTGTAATACAACTGAAATAGAAAGATTAAATCTTAACCCATTGAATCCTGAGACCTGACCTAACGTTAAACAATGTTTGAACCTTTTTTGGTAATTCTCTCTATTGCTCATGTAGCAGAGAATAAATCAGTAGTGAAAAGCAACAAATGGCCAGTACAAAGTTGCTCATATGAACAGTTTTATTTTAAGTAGGAATATCGAAAATATTCCGGGTTAAGGATCACCAATATAAATTTCACCGACTACATGCAACTTAGTCCAGTTGTCCCTGAGCGTGTTCTTATCACCAGACATCTTTTGGCAACATTGTCTTGTCCTAAAAATTCTACGATCGTTAACAGAGAATAATGTCGGTGAGTACATTATCAAGCCACTACTTTACCTGTTCAAGAATTATCGAAAAAAATATGTTAATCCCAATAATCTTTGTAAGGGATTTACTCATTTCACTAATTCTGGATTTAATCATTCTTTTACAACCAATCATGTTAAAATGATTTTTCAGTTGGCTCAGAATGCTAAAATAAATTCTTCGTGAAAAAGAAATTACCCACTCCAGGTCGATCTTCTATATCGAGTTTTTATGTTTAAGTAGCGAGATTTATTCATCACCAGCTTACTAGGCCTGTCGCGTAGCTTACATCACCCACTATTCCCCAGACGTCACCCATCTGAGTACTGACCAGGCTCAACGTTGCTTAACGTCTGTGACCGGGCAACAACCGGTGGTTCGACGTAATATCGCCGTAAGCTAAAATAAAAACGTAACCCATAAAGAAAAATGAATAAAAAGACAAGTAGAAAAATTATTCTTAACCGACGCCTTTCGTCCCCTGAAGGACTTTATCAAAGACAATGTAAGGATTTATTTTGTTGCACGTGTTTATATATAAGAGCAATTGGTGTCATTGGTTTATCAAAGTTTTAAATTTTGAGAACTTGCACGAATATTCATCAGGTGCTTGAAAGTTTAGTCAAAATATGTGAAGGACGCAAAGTCGATAATTCAAAGTCTGGTGAGACAAAAGTAAGCGAGAAATATTCAAGATTTTTTTTTTAATAAATGAATATTATTATGGTTTGGGATGGACGTATATGCTGTACATCTTCAAAAACACGAGGTATAAACCGTTTTCTTTGGATTTTTTAACATATTTGCGCTCGTGTCTGTTGGCTTAGGAGATAAAACTGAATATTCAGGGAAGCACGCTTCAAATCTGTTTCAATTCTTCGCCAACTTTTGAAAAGTTTCGCATTTTTGTTAGGTTTAAATTATCAAATATGACTCAAAACATATTGCTGAGATTCGATGACGCTGAATAATTGCTGTGCGTATTAAAATCAAAGATATCCAGACACACCGCATTTATAAGCGCAACTTTTTCCTAATGTAACGTAAAACAAATAAAAAAATATTTTCTTTTACAAAACAAATTGATAGTTTCTTTTTTAACTTTCTTAAATATTTAATCAATATCTGATCAGCAAACTCTGAATCGTAGAAAATATTCTTTTCATTTACGAAGGATAAAATTTTTTCAAAAATACTCATATTTTCTACATATTTTGGATTTCTTAAATACTCGACAATTACATGTACTTTTCTCAGGTATTTTTCACGCCAGTTGTATTTGGCGATTTTCACTGAAGATCAAGAGACTACCAAATCTCCTCAATTTTCCAGAATATTCCTATTTTTATTCATTTCAAGAATTGTAATGGCAATGGTGAGAATAGCCGTTTCCATACAGGAAATATTTGTCATTCACAAATCGAACAGTTAACTTTTATGTTTGTTGACATTTCTAAAATCATTCTCATAACCCGTTTATACATGATGATCAGCTAATTGGGCGTGGTCTTAATCAGTAACAGACACCAAACCTAGTACATTAGAATATAATATTTCTGTACCAGAACCAAGAGTATCTATCTATCTATCTATTTATCTAAAAATATTTTATTCTAATGTATTAATCTTGGTGTCTGGAGCTGATTAAGACCACGCCCAATTAGTTGGGCGTCATGCACAAATGTTTTAAAAGGTTTTTTTTTCCGGAATATAGGTTCCTCGTTCACTGTTATTTCTAATATTGATGGGAGTTTCCTTCTTAACCATTTGTTTAAGGTAATATGAAAAGTCAACATCTTGATTGTAGGAATTTATCAGTTCGCCCACGTCGCTAACGAATATGACATAAGGTGGAAATTTAATGTCGGTTTACCGGCAATACTGTGAAAAAATTGCTCGGCACTTCACCTTTGAGGGACGCCTCAGCCCCTTCCAGAAGGATAGGTACTGCCTGGGGGTATGGCCTCCCTGAGGCTTGAGCTACTATTTTCAGCTACCCCGATAGAAGCGAACATCCTAACCCTAACCCTGCCAGGTATGCCAACATCTTGGTTGTATCATTATTTTCACTTCGACTTATATGTGCCACATATTTTAGTTGTTGCACCTGGTGGAAGTCTTCATGTGATGCAGTCTTTGTTATTTAGTAAATCTATGTTTGTGATTCTGTATCGCCAGTCTATAAAACCGGATGAAAGATTAAGACATGCAAGATTCATTCACTTGAAGCCATTTTGAATAATTGATCTGAGAAAACGCTTGTATATAGCTGATAATTTAAACATTTCTAAATGATTGGACACTATGCATGACATCGATATGAAAGTGTCTTGAGCTGACGCGGCTATTCAACGGCATAATTCGAGTTCTTCGGTTAATATTTTGGTTTTGTAGCTTCTTGATTTTTTTTGAGAAATCTAACACCATTCAGCAATGTTCTTGTTTGATTAGTTTGAATTCTTCTTCCGGTTTTCTATTCTTAAAGACATTTAGTAAAAAAGTCTTTAAAGTCATTCCAAGTGTTCCATTGATTATTAGTACTATACTTTCTTTCATATTTCCTATATTTTTGGTTGTTGTCCAGATTGTATTCAGCTTTTGACTATCTTTCAATTTCTGGTTGGGACGATTAAATTCATTGATCTTTGTTTATATTTGTTTACAATGACAAGTTCCGGTCTCCTAAGCCTAACCCTGCACCAGTCTCTGGGTTTGAATTGGGGGTGCAGGGCTGGATTAGGTGTTCGATTGAGTCCCAAAGTTCAAAAGACTGTCGGGTTTACTATTATTCCTTTGCATTTGCCTTGTCGAACTCAAATCGTTTGCATAGTTGCCATTGGAACAACTTTTCTATCTATCCATGTCTGTTTTGTTATTTCTCAGCCAATGTAGTACATTCATTTAATACAATGGTGTATCAATAAGTCCGTCGCCAGAAACGTGGTTATTAGTTGAATTTCGATCTGCAACTTTCACTGTATAATGACCGGACTATGAATTGATGGAGAAGCACTGAATTATGTTGAAAAATATTTCAGAAAAATAAATCCTGTTTTTCATCACCTGTAGACGACGAACGTGTATTGATGTATTTACTGTTCATTTAATGATTGTCGAAAAGAGGATAAGTTTTATCAGATCTGTCCTAAGTTTATTTGCCAAATATTATCTCGTCCCTTCTCCAGGACAGTTTATAGTTTTTTGCTTGTGTCACATATTTGCCTGGTTGAAACGGAATCATTTGTATAATTCATAGTAGCTCGGATTTCCTAAACAATCGTGTGTTTATTTTCTCCATTTTTATATTGTGATGTTGTTGATATTTCTTTCTTCTTTTTGGTTTTTCATGTAGTTTGTTCTAACATTCCTGCTCCATGATGCCATTCTAAGGGATTCAATTTTCTTTTATCAAATGTCCTTTGCCCTTACATGTTTCTCTACCTTTAAAAATATTTTCATTTTATTCTGGCTTCTTTTATTTAGATTTCCTAATCGAATATGTTGTGAATTTTGTCGGAATTTCAAGCTCTTAAGATTGTTTTGTTTTTGCCTTAATATAATACACAAGGTAATCAAATCAAAATCATTTTCGAATTTCTTTTACATATATTTTTTATTCCCGTTAAATTCGTAAATAAATCAAGACTTTCATGCAGATGGCACCAAACTCGTTCAGAAATATCTAAACTATTAGCTGGAAACAACTGCCTTCTCAGATCTTTATTAGATTAAAAATGGCTTCCAGCCTGGAGATCTTGGCAAATGTCATCCTTCTTCGAACCTCATGGACTGGCGCTACAGAATCACAAAAAAGAACTGCACCGAATGACAGAAATCACATCACTTAAGGAATTTCTACATTAGCAACAACTAAAATGGACATTACATGAAACTTGAAAATAAAATAGACATAAGGAAGATGTTGAATTTCCCGGCGACATCAAACAAAAGGTTAGGAAGGAAACCGCCATCAATGCTGGAAAGGACGATAACAATAAAGTTGACTTGAGAAACTTATTTTCGTGAAAAATAGTTTTATAAAAAATGTCTAAATTTCAAGCGAGACTAGATAAAAAAAATGAAAATAAAATATATAAACAAAGAAATGAATTCAAATTAAGATAAGGTATTTGCTTTCCTTTAAAACCCATCTCTCTCTACCTATCTCTCTATCTCTATCTCTCTCTTTCTTTCTTCCTTCATACCCAACTCTCTCTTTATACCCTTCTTTCTCTATACTTCTCTCACAACTAATGAGAAGGAAACCCTCAAATAAAAAGAGGAAAAAGAAATGACTGAACACGGCTGCCAAACGACTGAAATTTGCTAGACCAGGGTCTAGCCATTGTGACTAGAGACCTATTAAAATAAGAGAGACCCCGCACTTAACTTCCGCTATAAAAAAAAATGAAAAAGAAAGGAGCTCCGGAAAATAAAAAAAACTTGGGACATTCAAAGAAAACAAAGACTTCGCGCTAATAGTCTGGAGCCCTGTCAAAAAGAATATAAACAGACAGTCGATATGTAGGGATCACAAAAAAAACATCCCAGCGTGTTACTTGAAGAAGTTAAACGGTCGTCTGCTTAAGACATTTTTCCGCCCTTCTGAGTACCTAGAAAACGCAACAGATTGACGTCCACAACAAGTTTCCAAAGTAAACACACACTCGACTGCTACCAAGATCCGACTTGTAAACTATTAACTACCGAGCCAAACAGACTTTCACCAACCCGAATGACAAAGGACTCACTCCAATCGAAATCAAATAAATATATATTATTTGTTTATACCTTTGATTCTGTTCGTTTATTTCAGAAGTTTCCGATAAATAATACTTAGAACCTTCTGGCAGTTCTCCACACTAGCACTGGCTACTTGGTCAATGAATGCTGAATGTTTCGTTATAAAGGAAACGGATAATATTACCATTATCACCTCTGGGGTAGATTTTGGTGCAGGGTACATTTCTTATATCTCTGATCCAAATCTTTCAATTAATGTTATCTTTTTGTTGTAAAACTCACACACATTATTCACGGTCTCGATTTTTCTCTCTTGTATCAAACATTTCAAAACGTTTGAACAACGTCCTATTTTTTTTGTCTTTTTGTCTTAAGTTAATCCCCAAGCCTGTTTTATGACCCAAAATATGGCCTTTTTTCTTATTTTCTCTAATGTTCATCTTCAGGATTGCGAAGCACAAATATTTGAACTATAGATTCTCAACAAACACCCTTCCTTCCCTATCGACCTAAAATCATAATTATGATCAACGAAAAGCGATAAATTACTTTTTGTGATCAGGGAATTGAACACTGTAAGTTAAAATTCGATTTTCTCACTCGGTTTTTTGCAAAGAAATTTATGAATGTCCAAAGGTAAATGATGGACTGTTTATTTTTTGTTTGTTTTTCCAACATAGGTTCACAGATTTCCACCGTTATCCGAAAGTAGAGAGTTCCTATGAAATATTCCGTAATCTGAAATGGCGTAAAAGGAACATTTATGTTCCTTTAAGGAGAAAATTATCTAGTGTTTACAAACCCCACAAATTATATTTTCATTTAGGGCAGATTGTCTTTTTCCGGACGTGTTGAGTTCTTACAAAGAATGATAGAAAAACACGTTAGGCTCGAAACGAGAGAAGTAAGATAAATAACGCAGGTGTAAAAAAAAGATTAATAAGACAAAGGAATTATTGTAATGGAAACATACCGGTTGATATGAAGACTTCCGATTGTTTTGAAAAATAAAGACGAGTATCTCAGATTTTATAAAAATCAAAACGTTTAAGAATCAACCCTGATTATTTGACGGGAAGGTACTATTGAACTCAGAAAAGGCATGAATCCATATCTTCTCTAAAACTATGTGTTTAATATCAGAGTAGACTAGGATCTCTAGTCTTGGATAGACTGATAGCCATTCTACAAGAGCTCTGAATTGGGTACCGCGATGTGGTCTAATGGTTAGCAAACTTGTCTTGCTAGAACAATTACGAATGAGTAGTGAGTTCGAGCCACACTGGGTGCTCCATACTTTCTGCCTTGTGCCACATCTAAGCTACGCTTAGAAAGTTACTATAAGAACTCTGAATTCCAAACTGTGGAGAAGGCAGTGGGAAACCATTCAATTACCTTTTTTTCCAAGAAGTCATGGCAGTTCAGAGATAATAAAAAAAGAGGATTCTCTGGAGATCCATGGCTGCCTAAGTCCTAAAGAGATTTGGTATTTTTAAAATCGTGAAATACTTCGTAAATATAGATGAGATGAAATAGGCTTGTTGACCCTGTTGCTGTCTGGTGATGTTTGTTGGAGAGGGGGTCTTCTTTTTTTTATGAGTTTAGTTTTTGCACTACACAAGCTAAAATTGGACGAAATTGGGATTCGAAATATTGCAGTCCGTTAGTTTTACAGGAAGATCTATCTGTTGTAAAAATCAATATTTACAATCCTGGTTTTTATCCGAGATCGAACACCGACCACTAACACCGGTGAGATGCAACTATCCTATCTCAGTCATCAAACAAGAACTTTTCTTTTTATCTTTGATTTGTTGGCGAATAACTCAAGTATAAAAAAATATTTTATAAAATAAGTATCTTGTGAGGCTGACATTTTTGAAAAGCATTGTGATCAAAGTGACAGGATGCATTTAAGACTAAAAGGAGACATGAAAATAAAAAGGAGTCATGATACTTAAGAAAAGCACATGAAAATAAAAAGGGGTCATGATACGTAAGAAAGGGTCTAAGAATATTGGATATACGGAAAGACATTAGTGAAAGGATGATAAAAAGAGCTTTCATGAATCCATCAATTCGCTTATTTATATAATGTCTGAAAAATCATTGAATGCTGTCAAGACAATAATCGAATTTCATAAGAGAAAACCCTATCAACGTTTTATAAAATGTTCCAATATATCTGGAAAAGGAGGATCGTCGTACTCAGAAAATACACGAAAAGAATTTAGTATTATTTCTTAGCAAGTTTTTAATAAATGTGCTGAACAGCTGATTTGTCGCCCTTTGTAGCTGTGAGTTCGAAATGGATGTGAAAAAAGAAGTTTGAAATCAAGAAAAGGAATATTCCGAAAATTAAAATAGATAGAAAGCTATGAACAAAACATACAAACTATAAGACTATAATAGAATTAGATGAAGAAATATTAAATTTACCCAATGCTTAATTCAACACTTTATTATAAAAATTAAGTTAATGTTTTTGCTTAAATTTTTAGCCGCCATTTAAAAATAAATAAAACCAAAAATTAAACGTTCTGTCAGTGAATTGTGTCAGAGTTTCAGTTTAAATACAATGTAAATTATCGCCTCGTGAATAACAGAAATTTGTTTCAGTAATGATTGCAGGGAGATATATAATGAGGAAAGAAGGCCAATAAAATTTAACACTCACAGTATATATTGAATTGAATGTAAACGAAACAGGAGGAAACAAAGACTAACCTACCTAACAAGTTTTAATGAATGGGTGGCAAAGGATAAAGATATTTACATTTCCGCACCAGCTTGATTTTAATTTCCCCGACATGTAAATCGCATTTTGAGCTCATCCTTTTACTGAAGGCCATGCATTCTGTCTTGTTATAGTTTATGCTTAGTCCCTTCTTCCCACTCTCATTCGCTACCTTCTGTAGGAGGTTTGTAATTTCTTTTCCGTGTCTGCTATCAGCACTGTGTCATCTGTGTATCTTATGTTGTTAAGATTGTGGCCCCCTATGCTGAATCCCGGTAGGATTTCCAATTCTCTCAGAATTGCCGCGCTGTATAGGGTGAATGAGTCCGGTGAGAAGACACATCCTTGCCTTACACCCCTTTCTATTTTTGTATATTCACTGAACTCATTCTCTGTGTTCATGCCTGCTATTTGCTGCCAGTATAGGTTCCTGGTTATTCTAATATCTTTCCCAAATATATCAAGGTTGCTGAGCAGTTCTAACAGATCTTTGTGACGTACTTTGTCGAACGCCTTTACGTAGTTTATAAAACATTGGTTCACATCCTTCTGCATTTGTATTACTCTTTCTGATAAGAGAGGATAAAGAGAGGAAGTGGATGTAAGAGAGAGAAGGAGGGTGAAAGAGAGAGAGAAATAAAAAGGAAAAAGGAAACAAGTAAAAAAAGGCGAGAATAAGAAGCAGAGAGAAAACATCTAAGATATCAAAAAACATCTTTCCTGCTTTTACAGTTCAACTTTTCCCCATTAAATATTTTTTATTTTATCTATTTTTGTATCTTCATTTTTTGTTAATGAGTTGAAAATCGCATTTAATTTGGCATCGATCAATTACAAATTGTTAATCAAAGTTTGCTTTTTTATAATTTCAATTTTAAGTCATGATTCGAGTTTTAACCCAAAGCTCATTCTAACATTCTTCACTGCTGACCTCTTCGTTTTCCGATGGATTTAATCAAAACTATATTTTTTTTAAATCTGGAAAAGGATTTTCACGTTGAAAGTAACAATCTTTTTTGCATCAAGAACACCACGCCTAATCTTGCAAGCTATTGTTAGTAACTCTGATTCTCTATTAAAACCTTATTATTGCACTCTTGTTCCGCGATAAATGTTACTAAAGCTGACGGAACAACAAGCCGGTCTTGTGCATAAATGCAATTCGCCTGTATAGTGAGAGTTTAAACACTAATGACATTTGTTTATGGTTCATTCAGAAGGAAAACTGAAAATGATGAGTCAAAGTAAAGGGTGAAGAAAGGACAAAACATTAATTGTAATGAAACAGAATGTGTCTAATGGAAATCAAAATAGATACAGTTAGGCTTTTGTGAGTTAAACATTGGTACCGGTAAAATCAGGCAGATCCAGTAACCTAAGAGACGTAAATGAGGTGCAAAAATCCGGAGACGTTTAGGAAATTTATTAACAATTAAAAATATCCTCCGTCCCCCTCCAAAAAAAAAAGGTGAGCTGGATTGTCTCCTGTATTGTTTTTCTCAAAGAAAGAAAAAACTTGAAACGATCGCGATGTCGTTCTATCGAACGAATGTTGAGATTACCAAGGACAGTGCATGCGACACATGAGGAAATTTTAAGGTGAATAGAAAATCCAAAGAAACTATTGCCATCAATCAGAAAGAATTAAAATTGTTGGAAAACACAAAGAAAACTTGAAGAATTTAACATTCAAAAGATCCATTAAAGATAAGAGAAGTGACAAGTTTTTTATCCAATGGTTGACAAGTACCGCAAAGACAAAGGGATCACGAAAGAACAATTATTAATGTGAGCAAATAAAGGTAGAAGCTGTGGAGAACCATTATCGCCTAAGCTTTCAAGGTCGATGGCAAACAGAGTTTAAGCCTTAATAAATCCCCAATTAATGCGGATTTGTGTAAAATTAAAATTAAACTTTGTAACTAACTCACCAAATACCAAACTCGGTGTTTGGAGGAATTTGTTTCAATTCTGTTGAGTGATATAAATGGATTGATTTGAAGATGAGGACGATGATAATCTGATGAAGATGACGGGGATGATGCTCGGAGAAGATGATATCTGACGAAGAGAATGGTGGTGCTATCCAATACCCGATAGATTTCGAGTATATCACAGTATCTATCTATCTATCTATCTATCTATCTATCTATCTATCTATCTATCTATGTCATTCTGTTCATTTTCTATCTATCTATCTATGTCATACTGTTCATTTTCTATCTATCTATCCATCTATTTATCTATCTATCCATCTATTTATCTATCTATCAATCTATCTATCTGATCTCTTCTATACTGAGTACTCGTTGCTAAGATATAAACAATATTTTTTCCTCCATTCTGAGTTCAAAAAATATTTTATTTCCTTTTGTCGTCAGTACACATAAAGTTTTTAGTTCCACCCGAATCGCTTGTCGACGCCCTTTTTTGCTTTCGAATAATATCTACGATGTTTATTTTAATGTTTATTGAATGTTTATTGGTTGCAATACTTTATCGATTTGCCTTTCGATATTTTCTTTTCTTTTTTTCCTTGTGGATAAAATCCATTTTTTAAATCAACCTGTATTATCCAAGTTATCAATCAGCGAAAACATGCGGCACCGAAATTTATAAATATCACTTTCATTCCTTTTGCATTTTGTTTGCATCTACTTTTATCTGTAGTGTAAATTGCAAAGACTAAAACGCAAAATGCTTTCCCCAAAATGTTGGAACAACACTTTTGAAAGATTTGTTTTATGACGAGAAAAACGTAACTATTTTACCCTAACAGCGTCACACTTGTGGCTTTGGACAAATTGTGATCGATATTAGTGCCACAATTTTTCTCTCTCTCTCTCTCTCTCTCTCTCTCTCTCTCTCTCTCTCTCTCTCTCTCTCTCTCTCTCTCAAAACCTGTAAGCCGGATGTGACTGCTAAGTAAGCAAAAATAAAAAAAGTTATTCTCTGTGCAGAGTTTCATAAAACAAATCCCCTAAAAACAAATACAATGTAAAGGGAGCTAATCACGAACGTTGCCATTAAAGCAAGAATTATTAAAAAGAAAAACGCTGAGTCATGATCCACCCTGACTGCCTTTTATGAATGTCGTTCACAACACTAGTAGTTGTACGTGAGTGAGCCGTTAGTGTTACCACCAGTGACTTCGGTCACCTGACTAAACACACACATTGACTCCAGGCTCTACCGACTCTCCCTATCCTCCAGATCGCTTCCATCACCTCACAAAGCAACATTCCCCCTTCATCATCTATATCGGCAATACAAAGAATTTGATCTTAACAATTCTTTTTCCCACCTCCCCGGTGATACCTTGTTATTTCGTTTGTTCTCTAGTACAACTATATTCATCTATAACAGCTTTTTCTTCTTTTTTTTTTTTTAAATATTTCGACATTTGGAGGGAATCATTATTGAATTCTTCTAAATTCTTTAATCTGATTTGTCAAATAGGATTAATGATCAAACAGAATTATCCAAACATTCTCAGTTTAAAGATAAAAAAATAAAAATGGCGGCTAACATGAAAATCTGCAGGGTTACATGACTGATGTTGTAACTGTTGTCTTTTCACATATTGTCGTAATCAGAATATTTAGGACAAGAATCTTCAATAATAATTAGAATAAATACAAAGAACAGAATAATCGTAAGAAAACAAAGTGAAAGTGAGACGAGCGAAATTCGATCAGCCTATCATTTGGAATGAGGTCATTTCCTCAGCCGCCATCAGTTCAGCAATATAGTATTACTGGCCTATTTCACCGATTCCAACCCTTAGTCGGTTCTGGTTTGTTCTGTTCGCAGATAGACATGCTGCGAATAATGTGAAAGAGAAAAAAAATGACCAAAAGACAAATGAGATTTGATGGAAACGTAATGGAAAATATAGATTTGTCGAACGCGGGAGCAGTTTGCAGAGATGCACACGTGTAGAAAGAACCACTCCAAATTCTTCATCCTAATCTTGAGATTGTCCTACGCCATTAATAAGCATTATTAGTTAATCGATGTGACTTAAGCCACCTTCGATCTTTGAGCCGATTCAGTCACTTTTCGATTATTTCATTTATAAGCAAATGATTGTCAAACAACGACTGAATACTCTTCCTGCCAGCCATAAGATACATGTATGCGTCTATAAGCGAATTTAGTTAAACTATCTAAAATGGTCGCTTGTCTGTAAGTTGGAAGGTGTAGGAGTGGAGTAATGCTCAGCGGCTAAGATTGAGGAATGGGTGATCCAGTCGAATTCATTGCATTCTCTTACATAATGAACTATTGATAAAATATAAAGACAGTAAGGCGTAGGAAGCAGAGTATCTGTCTATATTTCTGAGATAAGGTATTATTTACACTATTGTCCTCATCTTTGTCGCCATATCTATCACAACGTTTTGGGTTGGGATGTCGAACTGAACTCTTTATTTCGCGCACTGTTATCAGTTATCTCCTGTTAATTTCCCTCTGCCTTAACCGGGTATTGAACTCACACTCTTTAGGTCCTGTCACTGGATCTAACCAACGCCGTTATCCACTGTGCCGTGTGTCCTTGAGGACATCTGTGTATGAATTTCTGGGTATTATAAACCTAATGTCTGAGCAACCATTTTTACCAGTGCTCATATTGGAATTTTTGCTGTTATCATTTCATGTTTTTACCAGAGCTCATATTGCAACTTTTGTTGTTATTATTGTTTTTCTCTGGCACTCCTTATTACTGGTTCCCATATTGTATTTATTTCTATGCTTGGTCGGCTCAGGAGATTTTTATGGTCTAGCATATATGCTGATTCCTTAAGTTTACGAATTTTCCAATGGTGTTCCTTGTCAATGATCTCAACATGATCCCACAGAGGGCAGTGATCTCTCTTCTCTCTCCATATGTGGTCAGCCACGCCTGATTTTTCCACTTCCCCTCGTGTTACAGCTTTCTGGTGTTCTTGAAGCCTTACCTTAAGGGGGCGGACTGTCTCCCCTTTATATTTCTTTCCGCAGCTGCACGGGATATCGTACACACAGTCTTTAGTCATATTCTCCTCTATGGGTGTGGGGGGGGGTCTTACTCGGGAGAGATATCTGCAAAGTGTCGTCAAGCTTTTGAAGGTTGCCCTGATGTTATATGGACCGCAGATCCTTTGAATTATCTCTGATAACCCCTTCACATAAGGCAGGCAGACTGTTTTCTGAGTGTTGTTGCCATCCTCTTGTACCCGCCTATCCCAGTTTTTTGGTGCTGCTGCCATGTACCCAGGGTAGTTGTTGCGTTGTAGGGTACTACTTATACTGACCAATTTTTTATCTAATGTCTCTGGGTCGCCACATGACTTTTGCTCGGTGTTGTAAGCAACGGGCGATCCCTTTCTTTACGCTGTATGGATGGTGGGAGTTGAAATTGAGGTACTGTCCGGTGAATGTAGGTTTACGGTTGGTTAGATCCAGTGACAGGACCCAAAGAATGTGAGTTCAATACCCGGTTAAGGTAGTGGAGAACTTTCAGAGAGAAATTAACAGGAGATAACTGATAACTGACATCCATTAAACATGGCAAGTGGAACTAGAACAGTCTACCCCAGTGAGCGAAATAAAGGGTTCAGAAGGCCGAAACCTTGTGATAAATATGGCGACAAAGATTCGGACAATAGTCCGAATAATGTAAATAATGTACACTGGGTCCTATAGCCTTGAGTGTGTACCAGTCTAGGAGAACGAACTGAATTCAAACCGGATCGCACTATCCGAAAATGTGCAAATTCCCATTGAAACTCCTGCTATGAATTTGCATGAATACGACCTCCGCTACCGTTTTGTCCGGATACGGCGGCTCAACCGACCAGCTGTAGCAGCTACATGAGTGATGCATGAATGGTTGGATAGGCGAATTCAAATATAATTTGTGAAAAAGAAGATGAAGTTAAAAGAACAAAAATTAATAAGTTTGAAATTATAATGAATTTTTTTCGTGACAGTGAATTGATAAGAAGTTGTGGTAAGTTCAAAATGTTAGTAAGACTTCATTCGTAAGACGGTTCTGTCTGCGGGGACGAGTTAGCAAGAGTTCACAAGAATTAGAAGCAAAGTGATAAAATTGGCTGGAGGATATAATCCCAATTGGAAAATAGTGAGATCAACGAGAAGATAAAGGACTCGATGAAGTGTCATTTGAACCGGATTTATCGGTAATTATTTATTTTAATTGGCTTCTTTGAAAACTTTGAAAAGTTATTTCGGGCTGTCATGGCGATGAATTAGTCTCACATAAGTCTAGTGTAGTGTAAAATCCAGTGAATATCTAATACACAATACAAGTGACTTGTGAGACGTGCTTCCTAATCATTTTCATGTGGCAGACGCACCTACTGAAATTCTCCAATTAATTTAATTAATACAATGAAATAACTCAGAAAAACTTGAGACACTGATATGAAAAAAATTATTTGGAAAATCTTTTATTACTGTCTATCTCGAAAGAAAGGTACTATAGAATAACACGATTATTATCAATTTAAAAATCGATTCGCCAATCGAAGAAGGACAATTTTTATGCGATTAATGGCAGAGGAAGGACAAAATAAGTAATCACATTCTTCGCATCATTTGATGGAATTTTATTTCGAAGCGGACAGATTGCCAGAGAAATTTAGAAGTGGCATTGATATTTTACTCTGATTTATAGCAAATAAATGTTTGCATTTTTTGTTTCTAATGCTGCAACAAAAGAAATGAATTCTTTTCATATAACTTAGTAAATAATTTGCCTTCCAGATATAAACTAAAAAGATTCATGACAGTTTTGCACTTTCATAAAAAATGATTTATCAAAAAAGGCGATAAATTCAATAGTAAATAATTTGTTGATGTGGTTGCAAAATATTTTTCTGCTGTCCATGAAAAACGAGGCACGTAATTCGTGAATGGAAAAAATCTATTCGACTCAAGTAATATAAATTTAGTTATGTAGAAAATCTATTCGACTCAAGTAATATAAATTTAGTTATGTAGAAAATCTTTTCGACTCAACTAATATAAATTTGGTTATGTAGAAAATCTATTCGACTTAAGTAATATCAATTTAGTATTTGTAGAAACTCTATTCGACTCAAGTAATATAAATTTAGTTATGTAGAAAATCTTTTCGACTCAAGTAATATAAATTTAGTTATGTAGAAAATCTATTCGACTTAAGTAATATCAATTTAGTTATGTAGAAACTCTATTCGACTCAAGTAATATAAATTTAGTTATGTAGAAAATCTTTTCGACTCAAGTAATATAAATTTAGTTATGTAGAAAATCTATTCGACTCAAGTAATATAAATTTAGTTATGTAGAAACTCTATTCGACTCAAGTAATATAAATTTAGCTATGTAGAAAATCTTTTCGACTCAAGTAATATAAATTTAGTTATGTAGAAAATCTATTCGACTTAAGTAATATCAATTTAGTTATGTAGAAACTCTATTCGACTCAAGTAATATAAATTTAGTTATGTAGAAAATCTTTTCGACTCAAGTAATATCAATTTAGTTATGTAGAAAATCTATTCGACTTAAGTAATATCAATTTAGTTATGTAGAAAATCTATTCGACTCAAGTAATATAAATTTAGTTATGTAGAAAATCTTTTCGACTCAAGTAATATCAATTTAGTTATGTAGAAAATCTATAAAACTCAAGTAATACAAATTTAGTTATGTAAAAATCTATTCGACTCAAGTAATATAAATTTTGTTATGTAGAAAGTCTATTCGAATCAAGTAATATACATTTAGTTATGTAGAAAGTCTATTCGACTCAAAGTAAAAGCTGCAAATTTGAAAGCCGAAAAGATTTTCACCGAGGTTCAGAGTTCGGAAAAGAACCAAATTACCTCTAATACGTTTTCTCCATATAATCCATTAAACGAGGAAG